CCAAAAGAGAACAAGGAAGTAGGTGAAAGAGCAGAGCAGAAATGTTACAGTAAACTTCTCAATGGCCCACTCCAGTATTATTTGATCTTTACTAAGGTTTGGTAGTGTTGTAGTGGTTCAAATTAAGCTACAGTACATGCCTTTTATGGGAAGCATTATTTCAGTCTTGGGTCCTTTAACAGGACTGGGATTTGTTTGTTTTAAATCTGCAGGCTTTTTCCAGTTTAGGGCTCAGTACCACACAGGCTCCAATCATCACCACAATGGGTTCTGACTGTTCACATTTTGTAGTCTGACATTTGTCCGTGTTGATTTTTGTTTAGTCTCTCTGTGTTTTTCCTCAGTCCTGCTGTTTCCAGCCAATGGTAAGATTTCCCACTTTCAGTCATCACATTTATCTGGCTGTATGGCATGCTTTGAGCCTCATAGTTTGAGCCTCAGACAGCATGCCCATTGACTGTTTACACTAAATGACAACAGCTTTCCAAAACTGGAAGATTCAGCCTTATTAATGGCTTTTATTTGGTTTTAGGGAGTCAAGGTACCATTCTGCTATGATGAGCACTTATGAGGAAGAACTTGACTATGTTTATTAGATACATCACTTTAAATCTTTGAGAGATATTACAAATTGTGTTAGTTTACAATAACCTAATTTCTCAATGCACTCTGTCTTTATTGTGTATTTCTGTGTGTATGCGCTTATCTTGTACAAGATATGCCTTAGTGCTTCTGTCCAGTCTGGTGGGATGAATGGATGTTAATAATACCTGTTAAATAATTTAAAGATGCTTTATTTGAATATGGATAATGGAAAAATTGATAATGAGTGTACAGATGACAGATCTTGGAATTTTTCAGTTTTGCTATCTGTCTGTACTTGTCCTCTAGCCTTTTCTTTTTTATCCTGCATCTCAAGAAACATCACATTGAATGGGCAGACTGAGGCTAGTTGTCACACTGCAGTGGATTCTGGTGTTCAGTGGAGTTTTTTTTTTAAGCAAAATGTAAACAAAATCTGATGAAGAAAAAATTCATGAATAAGCTAAATGTGAAAAGTAACAAAAATAGCAAAGCATTTTTTACCAACAAATTTTGTAATTAATAATTTTACATAGTGTATTCATACCAGTAAATAACTTTTTTTTTTTTTAATAATCTGACATAAAATGCCATTGTCCTAAGAATCCAGTTTAAATTTACTTTCATTATACAGTACCTGATATTTACCTGAATATTTTCCTTTGTGGATTTTTTGTGTCTTGTGTTCATCCAACAGCTATTGCAAAAATATAAACATACTGGAATTTTTAGTTTGAAGAACAAAAAAAAATTATAATTTAATATGGTTTTGAATTAGGTGTTTGAAGCCAACATACAAAACCATTGCTAGAGAAAAACATTTGTGTAATTGCAAAAAAAAAAAAAAGATGAGATATAAACAACTATAGCACCAGTCTCCCATATAGTTTTTTTTCTAATTATTTTTATTTTAAAAGGGACAATGCACATTAATTAACACGAGCACTCAAGTCTATCACGTAAATGTGCCAGATTTAGCCATACAGGTTAATTTTCATCTGCAGTCCCTGTCAGGTTGATGGTAAAAAGATGGTAAAAAGTCCACAAGTACATAAAGAACAAACATTCCAGCAGACATAGTCACAAACATAAAAGACTTTACCTAATATTTATGTCATATAGAATATTAGACAAAAATAAAGCAACAATCCCCAAGAAGCTGTTGATTTTGGAACAGCTATGGGTGGTTGTTTGGCACAATGCAGACCTGTTCTAAAATCACTAACAAAATCAGCAACAAAAATGTAATAATTTCCTGATAATGAATAATTAATTTGTATGCCTAACAACGTAGTTCTTCAACAGAATGGTTGACAACACACAGGCACAGTAATACTGATGTAATGAGGTCACAGATGTGTGTTTATAGAGTATTTTACAACAGCTTAGAAAATGACTCAACCAATCATATTCAAAGTACTGGAACTATACGTTTTATAAATAAACTAAGAAATGTCCGAGTGCTTGCAGTGGTTGAACAATGATTAGGTCCATCAGGCCATCAATCCTTAATACATTACAAAACCGTTGGTGCAGTCCTAACATATGTTTCACCTCTGTGGCATTCCTACAAGTTGGCCATTTAGACAGGGTGTGGTTGAAATATGCTTTGTGTGCAACATTGTTAATGCAAAATGACTTTCGTTTCTTGACAATACAACTAAACAATGTGTGGATCTTTACATTTACTTACATTGAAGAGATAAACAAAAAGATTGTTTTGCAGTGTTTTGTGTTAGATTGTAATTAGTTTCCATGTCAGTGTTGCTGGAAATTGCTGTATTATATTTGAATTATTCATGGTTTGTCATAGTTGATCATACTTTTAGTGTAATATACACAGTTAACAGGATTGAAACAGTCAAACTTAGAGTTAAAACCTACTTCCTGTTTCACATTTCCATTTAGCACAGCCTAAGGGTCAGACTCTGCAAACATTTAAAGGAAGTTTGCACCAGTACTTTGCAGTTGACAATAGTGTGGGGATGCTGTTTAATACTCTGTGCAATCTATTTTGTGGTGTACATTTTTATAGACATCAATGTTTACTAATTACAAGCTGTTGTCCCACAACTGAGCTAAACAAAGCTTTTTATAGACATTTTAATTTGTAGGCATTTGATTTGATTAGTAGACAGACATATCTTACATTGCATATCTTCTTCATGTAAAGTATTACTATCCTGTCTGCAGCAATTTAAAGATTTCAGGCATTGTTGGTCCATACTTCCTGAGGTGGACCTGATCTTCCTCGTGAAAGCTTCCTGGAGCTGGGATTGTCTATGCTTGCATATTGAATTTCGAGAATCCAGACTCTCTTCTAGCTGTTTTGACAATGTTGACTTTGAGATTTCAAGTTCAGTCCGTTGCTTGAGAAATGATTGGTCTTCCCCTACACTGAATCTTTCAAAATGTGGGTGTAACAGTTTACCACTGAATGAACCTGGAAAGCCCCACATTTTGTGGCTTATTAATTTTCAACACCTGTTTTTCCATTATCACATAATATAATTGCTATAAAACATTTATAAAAACATTTTATATTGGACATTTTGTCTCTTAATCATATCTTAATAATACAAGGGTTATTATAATGCTTGGGGAAAGTTAGAAAGTTATCATCTTCAGAGTCAAATATGTATTGTCATTTTCACAATGGATTACAGTATGTCATTGACAATAAATTATAATCAATTACAACTGTGGTTAATCAAGAAGAAATGAATCTTTCTTTCTATCTTTCTAAAGTTGGCACTTTACATAATAGTCTTTGCTATAAAATTACATTATATTTACAGTATATTATATTTATGGGTGGCTTCACCAGCAGCTATGTCCAATTATAACCAGGGCTGCTGCTGGCCATATATATATTATTGTTATACATGTAACAATAACATCGACAATGATGTGAGCATGTAACAATGAATATAAAGGGCATAATATTTAAATAAATTAAACAAACGTATGTCTCACAGTCTTCAGTGGAGCATTTAAAATCTCGGAATTTCACATATGAACATGTAGATAGATAGTTCCCCCTATGGAGATACATGCAGTAATTTATTAATCGGTTCATCGATTAATAGAAATGATATAGAACAAAATATTTTAATTCGAAAGAAATTCAGTGCTGCACTTCAGTTCGGCTCCCTACGCAGTGTTCACTGCTCCTTACGTGATTTCTCCGTATGAGAAACTAGATGTTTAGTTCACTCTAAACAATTATTCAGGTCACCTGTAACTACAATTTAGCCTATATTATTGTTTGGTTAAATAAATCAGATTTATTGATTTAATTAAATGATATCATTAATATTGTGTGTAATTTAAACATACATTTCTGCATTAACTGATTTTTTTTCTTTTCTTTTATTTACTCTCTCTCTCTCTCTCTCTCTCTCTCTCTTTCTCTAGATATATATATGTTGTAACTACAATTTAGCCTATATTATTGTTTGGTTAAATAAATCAGATTTATTGATTTAATTAAATGATATCATTAATATTGTGTGTAATTTAAACATACATTTCTGCATTAACTGATTTTTTTTCTTTTCTTTTATTCTCTCTCTCTCTCTCTCTCTCTCTCTCTCTTGTTATAAATATGTTCTAGTTAATGAAACTGTCTTGATAACTTTGGAAAGTGGGTGTATTTCTAGTTCCCAGCATGCTTTGCATAGGACTGGATAAGGAGAATGAAATCAATTGTTATTTTAGCATTATAGTGTTTAATGCTGTTATGTTTGACATTTAAAAGACTTTAATCTCTTTTAGAACAAACATCTTTTTCAGTGATACCCACATAAACACAAAACATCTACAGGGTAGCACGCATAAAATAATGCATGCATAAACAAATAATAAAATATCAATTGAGTAACATAACTTTTTTACTTAAAACACAACACCTGATAATGCATAAACAGGGAATGCCTACTTCCCAATAGGCATTATAATATATTTTTATATTATATTATCTGTAATATATTTCCCAATAAATATTAAGCATATTCATAAAAAAAAAACATTTTTAATTTTTTAACAGTAAATACAGCTATACATTTTCATTTATTTTATACTTTTTTACTAACTCGTTTCTTTTACTTCTCATAGAAAAGGATAGTGTATAAAAAATGTTTTAAATATTTTCAAATATTAGCTACATTTAATCAAGTAACTCTTTTATTTTTTTTACTTTAGCATTATTTTCTGTTTTAAAGTGCAGTAAATAGTTACATACAAGGACTCATGTTAAGTACAACAGTATAACAAACTTACGATTTTAAAGAGAAAAGGACATTTTTAATATGGTCAGAGTGACTGAGGACGCAATCTACTTGTTCTGGTCTCCCCTGTGACTATGCGTCATGACCGGTAGGTGGCGTAACGTGGCATAATTTTGGTTGCCTCCAAGATTTCGACACGAGGAAGAGCATTTTCCGCCTAAGGCGGGGTCACCATCTCTGTTGGCAAAGTTTGGCTGTTGAGACTGAGAGCGGTCGGCAAGATCAGCATAAGCACATCGAGCCTAAATCCCGATCGTCCGTTTTCCAGCGCTTGCTGTCGTGTAAGCGTGCAGTGTACGTTAGCGTACGGCTGTCGTGATCTGACTGCAGTCATGTCCGAAGACCCGAGCTCTCACCCTTGGTCTATCGACAAGGATGACTATGAGCTTCAGGAGGTGATCGGTGAGCTAAACCATCACACATCAGCATCTAGATTACAGCAATGATAGAATAACGGAGATTAAGACATCTGTGTTATGATCTCTGGGGCCCTGGTGGTCTGTGTTATTTCTGATCTCCATCAGTAATTGAGTCATCGCGCCTGGAAGATGTTCAGTCTGTGTTAGCCATGCTAACTAGCCACCCGACATGCCAGCAGATTGTAATGCTTTGCGGACAATGGCTGATTTACTGATTGATTTGGGGATTTCATCATGATATAACGTTATACATGATATATGGGCTGCTTGGTGGTTTAAGAACCATTACAGTTGACAACATGCTAGCTAGTTTAGTGACAAGCTGCTTCATATAATGTTCATGCAGATGGGCTGTCATCTAGATGAAAGTTTGACGTATTTTGAGATCACTTTAACTAACTAGTTAACTAATAAAAACACATAACCAGAGCTAATTTTCTTGTCCTGGGGACATTTGGGTTTGGTCTTTTCAGCTCCCTTTGGCGAGGGAAGTTGTCATGTAAAAGGAAGTGTGGAACAATATGAAATGAAGACATTAAGACATAAGTCCATTTTATATCATCTGAATTAGCATTAGGGGAACAATAACGAGCATTCCATTATAATGGTTAACCCATGTGCATCTATTTAGAAAAGTTACACAGAGGTCCTAAAATATTATATATTATATATTTATTATACATTTTTCCCACTTTCAGTGCATTTTTCCAACATCAGTCCTGATCATAACTACTAAAAATTCATTCATTTTCAGGTCTTTAACACTTTAAACGACAGTTTATTTACATAATAAAATCACTGTGTTTTATGGAGGAAAACACACACATACAAAACGTCAGTTATTTTGCATATACTAAATGCTAAGAGCAGAATCTATCTATCTATCTATCTATCTGTCTGTCTGTCTGTCTGTCTGTGTCTATCTGTCTTATCTAGCTATTTTTGGATTATATTGGGTGTGTCAATAGCAACAACATTGGTTTTGATTTTTTTTAAGCAGTATCAGATTTAAAAGAAAAACTAACACTCAGGTCCTTAGAAGACAAAAATGTCCAAAAATTGTCCTAAAAAATGTTTAGTAATTTTTCACTTTAGATTTTTTTAAACCAACATCAGTCCTGCTCTTAACTACTAAAAATTAATTACTTTTGAGTAACCAGGCTTTGCCAACATGTAAACGATATACACGTGAGGCATTTGCACGTTTTGCTTTGTAACTTCGTAACAAAAATAAACCATAGTATATTGCATATCTTTAGAGCAGGTTGTCTTGATTGAAACGGGCCCACACACAACATAACGTGATGCATAGATCTTGAGATGTAGATTTTCTGGAATCCGGTCACATCACAATGACGACACTAGTGTTTTCCAACGTCATTCGAAAAGGAAGTTCAACCAATGGGGAGTGAGCCTTCCCAACAAAATGAAAGCCTGTTAACAAACAATGTATTATTTTATGCTTAAATGGCACTGGGATTAAATATAGCATTTTTAATGGGGACATTTTTTCCCTTAAGGTCCTGAGTGTAACTATTTTGTGTACCCAGTATAAAATAGATTTATGAAAGGAAATGAGGGTAAAATATTAAAATTCCAAAAAAAGCATTATTTCATATGCTGATTTTTTTGTTTGTATTACTAAATCTGATTTAAATAGATATTTTTGATCTTTTTCTGCTGTTATATAGGGAGTGGAGCAACAGCTGTGGTCCAGGCAGCATATTGCAAACCCAGGAAAGAGAAGGTGGCCATTAAACGCATCAATCTTGAGAAATGCCAGACCAGCATGGATGAGCTTCTGGTAATGTCTGCTTACTGCTCATAAAATAAGACCCACCACCTAAAGGTATTTGATTAGGATGGAGTCTCTGCTTAAACCGGTTATTTATGGATGGTAGTTAATTTGTCTGGCTCTCTTTAGAAGCGTAATGTTTTCTTATAAATGATTCTGCAGCCTATATTGTTTAATCAGAATTAAACGTGCATTGGAGTAAAATTAATCTGTGTGTGTGTGTGTGTGTGTGTGTGTGTGTATGTATGTATGTATGTATGTACGTATATGTGTGTGTATATATTCCAAATTAAAAATTCTGTCTACACAGAGTCTGTGCATTATGCAAATGTTCTTCAAACAAAAATAGATTAGTTGAATCTCTTGGTAATTGAATAATGTAAGTAATTTATGCTATTCTGGAAGCATGCAAGAAAACTGCAGAGGTTGAGACTAGGGTTGTGATGGTGAGGAAATTTTCCCACCGGTTAATCGATCAGCACCGTCTATCGCGGCAAGCCTAGTTGAGACAAACGCCACTAAATATAGGCACAAATATTGACTGTCTGAGAATATTTAAGTTTTAGAAAATATGCAATGTACATCTGACGAAGGGTCTGTCCCATTCCCCTCGGTTAATGATCTTTTTGCCAAATGGTGGGGTCATGATGTAACTCGGGTCATGTGCAAGGCAGCCACATGTCTGTCAATCAGAGGAGGATTAAACTGGCACAGACACAAGGAAATACTTTTCTTGTTTGTGATTAAACTATCAGAGTTAGAATGGCCTATGAAACCAGACTAGCTAACTACACTTGCATTTATACAGAAAAGGTGCCCTTTTATGATGTAGAATAGGTTTAAATCAATTAATTTAGTTTGGTGTAAATCTGTATTGAAAGACTTCTATTCACCGAATGTCTCTTTCAGTTCTGTAGAATAAAACTCATGAATGTCCACATCTTGAAGTAATTTGACCCAGAAGGACATGGTTGAGCACTCATAGTGATCTGAATGGGATCTTTTGTTTGCAATTACTTACCATTATTGCCTTTTAGAAACCTCTGTTTTGCTTTAAACATTTACTGCTTCCTAACATTTTCTTTTCTCCTTTTATTTATTTATTTTTTTAGAAAGAGATCCAGGCAATGAGCCAGTGCCATCACCCAAATATTGTGTCTTATTACACCTCCTTTGTGGTCAAGGATGAGCTTTGGCTGGTCATGAAGTTGCTCAGTGGTGGTCAGTTAGTTCATTGTTTAAAAGCATGTCTTGAATAAACAATAACAACAAGAAAGTTATTGAAAATAAAGTAAAACATAATACAAAATCTTCCCATTCATGTCTGTTTTCAGGCTCAGTTCTTGATTTTATTAAGTACATCATTTCCAAAGGGGAGCACAAATCGGGTGTCATGGATGAGGCCAGCATTGCCACCATACTAAAAGAGGTGCTAGAAGGTCTCGATTATCTGCACAAAAATGGTCAGATTCACAGGTATATGGATGGTTTGGTTTCTGTCTATAATTACATTTATATGTGCTTCATTTTCCATTCTTGAGTTCATTTTGAGTCACTGAGCAATACACTGACCTGTACTTCTCTCTGTAAAGGGATGTGAAGGCTGGAAATATTCTTTTAGGAGAAGACGGCTCTGTTCAAATTGCAGGTGGAGTTCCACTGTCAATGCATTATTTTTGTCGTCTTCTGATTATTGACAAGTAATTAGCTTAATATTAGGATTTAAACATACAGTTTTTTTATTATTTCGAAGGAATGCAAAATATTCTTATTTAGATGTAATATTTGATTGCCTTCATAGTGTTTATGTACTTTATGCGGAATGTTATACTTAGAGGGAAAAAAGTTTTTTTTTTGGTAGATGCAAACAGGAAAAGAGGCAATATAATTCTGTTTGCTTTCAAAGTCTTTGAATGGCATGAAAAGTATATAATAAATACACAACTTGCAGTGATCTTGGGTCAGACGATTGAGAGTTTTGATGTCTGCTTTTCTCCCCGAAGATTTTGGTGTTAGTGCCTTTTTAGCAACTGGTGGAGACATGACTAGAAACAAAGTGAGGAAGACGTTTGTAGGAACTCCATGCTGGATGGCGCCTGAGGTGATGGAGCAGGTTAGTGTTGTCTCACCTGTTCCTACTTTGCCTTTTACGTATATTTTGGAAACTGAATGGCTTTGTTACAGAATGTGATCATTATAATGTGTTTGCTCAATCACAGGTTAGGGGTTATGATTTCAAAGCTGATATCTGGAGTTTTGGGATTACGGCTATTGAGCTGGCAACCGGGGCTGCTCCATATCACAAATATCCTCCAATGAAGGTATGCAGCAAGTCATTGTTCGTTTTCAGTTCATGGAGAGTCTGCTATGAAACCTGAGTGAAAGAGTGATGCAGGAATGATCCGAAAATCTGGAAACGAGTTGGCATTTTGCAATTCTGATTCCATCGTCCTGAAGTCAGTGGGTTTTTTGAATGGGTTTTTGGTTAAATGCCTTAAGATTGGTAGTTAACACAAGCTCAAATTCATGTTTTATGCTACATAAAATACATCAGTAATACTAGGGCTGCACAATTAATCGAATTTCTAATCGCGATTACAATTATGGATGCCACAATTATGTAATCGTTCAAAGCGGCAATTAATCGTTCAAAGTCCACTTATGTTATTCTGCGTGCTTAAGATGCGTTTTTTTCTTTCTACATGTTATCTTAAGGGCTTTTCCCATTATTTTAATTTTAGTTTTAGTATAACATTATAATACCATTCATATTTTTACTATTTTATAATTTAAAGAAGAAACCAATCCGATGTATATTTGACATTTGAGGCTTAATACTATAGAAAAGCACTAAAGGTTTTTCAGTTAGAGTGTTTTCGGCTTGTTTATTTTCATATAAAAATATGGCATGCAGTTGCATCAAACAATGGTATAAACATCACTCAATGTAAATTGTGATAATCGTAATTAATAATCGCAATTACAATTTCAAGGGAATAATCGACAATTATGATTTTTGTCATAATCGTGCAGCCCTAAGTAATACCTCAATCATTATTTTTTAAAGCTTATGTGTCTTGAAAAAGGTGGTTGCTAATAAGTAGCTAAATAGGACCACAGAGGTTGTCGAGGACATTAAACCTCATTACGCCAAACAGGAAAACCTACTCCGTAGTCCTCTTTTACAGCCTTGTTGTGTTTATATTCCTGCTCATGCAAACTATTCTAACTCAAACATTGCAACTAAGTTTGTAGATTTTAAATAAAGATTTTAAGATTTGTCAAAAGCTTAGTAGTGCTGACGTTGAAGTCATGCAACTACAGTGTTGTTTGTTTATAACCTAACTTCAACTTTTTACTTCTGCTGAATTGTATTTAGGCTTCAAAATTAATAGAAGCTGCAACTTGATGAACAAAATGTGTAAGAATCATGATCTTTTGTTTGTCACAAAGTCTTATTTTCTGCAATAATCCAAAAGCTAATGGAAAAATCCTATTTGCTTTTTGCCAAAGGGATCCAGGGTAAATCTAACTTCTGGGTTGGCCTTCAAAAATGAGTAACTCTATTGCAATAATCATTCAATTCACAGAGCCTCTGGTTGCTTAATGTTTTTGTCTACGTTTTCCACCGTAATGATTTGTCTGGGTCTTTCTTGATTTCTCCCTTTTTTTTGGTTTAGGTTCTCATGTTAACCCTGCAGAATGACCCTCCTTGTCTAGAGACTGGAGTTACAGATAAAGAGATGGTTAAAAAATACGGCAAATCTTTTCGGAAGATGATCTACTTGTGCCTCCAGAAGGATCCAGAAAAACGGTAGTGCAATTATTCCCTAAAGTTCGCTGACTCTGTGTTTGGAATCTTCGATTATGACGTTGTGGCCAGAAAACTGTCGAGACCAACAGTTTTTGGTCATATTATTAATATTCAGTGTTCTTTAACAGGCCTACAGCTGCTGAACTTTTAAAACACAAGTTCTTCACAAAAGCGAAGGTGAGATACTGTAACCGAATTTGTAAAGAACATTAATTTACTGGTAATCTAAGTGCACAAATGGGCAGTCTGTTTTATGTAATTGCTGCATCCAGCAGGCCAAATAATTAAGTTTGGCTACAATCATTGTCACCTAAACATTTGGTCCAGCATGCTGCTTTACTGTAACAAATACTCAGGATTAGAGTTCCTAAAGGCCATTTCCTGATCATGGGATACAGCCCATATTGTAACAAACGCAGTGCTGCCTCAGCAGACTTTCATGCCTAGTGGCTCAGTGGCACTGTAGTCAGTGTGTAAACAGAGGCCTGTACGGCACTGCATTATGACCCACAGAGGATGCTGTCTGTACTGATTGTCTCAAATTTATTATTAGAATAACCTGATATCACAGTTTTAACCAAAATATTACATTTGTGGAATTATTCATAATATATAATAATATAATATAATGATTATATTTAGAATTTCTTTATAAATATGCAATACATTTGTTGTCCGCTGTCTTGTAGCTTACTATGAAATTTGAATTTTGTTTCCCACAATTCCTTCGCAGAACAATGAATACTTGAAAGAAAAATTGCTGGACAGGGCGCCAACAATAGGAGAGAGATCAAGGAAGGTGGGTGACAAATTTACTGACAAATATCATACAGAAATGTTTGTAGTTGTGCTTCAAGAATTTTGTTGTTTGTGTAAATAGGTGCGGAGGGTTCCGGGCTCCAGCGGTCGACTACACAAGACTGAGGATGGAGAGTGGGAATGGAGTGATGATGAGCTGGACTTGGAGAGTGAGGAAGGAAAGGCAGCAGTAGCCGCTTTACGGGTACACACTCATCTGCTACACCGTTACCTAACGTCTGTTTTGTTCTAGTCTGTGGATTTGTATAAAGCATTTTTTAAGTCTTTCAATTGTCTTTTTTTAGTCACCAAGAGTAAAGGAGGAGGCTGTACAAAATGCTGAGGTGGGAGTTCAGTTCCATTTCCTACTTTCTGAATTACCTCAAAGCCATTCTTAAGAAAATCTTGTTTCTGCCTTTTTCAAAGCTCTTTCCAGCAGATCCATCAAGCTTCCTGCAGCCAGCAGCTGCAGGACAGTCTGAAGTGCCCCATGCTGCGGACACTGTCACGATATCAGCGTCCTCTCCAGGCTCCCAGGTGAGCTCTGCTGTGAAGAGTCCCATGAGTGACAACAGTATCAGCAGTGAGAATGACCAAACAAGTGGACTTGGTTCATAATTTAGGGACGGATTGACTTTAGGTCTTGAAATTGTATCCCTACAGGCTGGTGGACCTACTACAACAGGGCAGGACTCAGCCAAAATCCCCATCAGCCTGGTACTAAGATTAAGGTATTTCCCATTTTTGTGACTTAACCAGATGGATCCAGTAGTTAAGCGTTAACCATACTGTTGAGGCCAGTTAGTACAGTTGTTCCACATGGTTGCGTTGGCTCACCCATTCTTTTACGTTGTATAAAAAGTAAACGCAAGCACTGATCCCAGTAACTTACAGTAATAGTATGATTTTTGGGTTAAACTGATATAATTCCCTCTTTTCAATGACAATACAAATATTTCAGGTTATAACTGAGAAATAGAAAGTGATGTAAATGTGCAGGGTTGAAAGCATGGGCTTTACAGCGTTGTTGTTAACTAAAACGATTAAAAATTGTATTTGTTATATAAAAGAAATAATATAAAATAGAAATATTATATGAAAAACATAAATGAAAATCAGAAATGTTGCCTTGGCAACTAACTGAAATAAAGTGGAAGCATTAAAACGACTATTAAGAATTACTCAATTTAAATATTGAATCAAACTAATAAAAATGGCAAAAGCACATACAATATTCTTAAAAATGATCAAAACATTAAGATTAAAATGAAAACTAAAAATGTAAAAATAACAGCTAATTCAAAATATGAATAAATACAATATTAGTATGTTAAATAATACTACAATAACACTGGTCCTTACAGTTCTGCAATAATCAAAATGCCTTCTGATAATGTCTTGTTTCTTAAACTTTTTCACTTTCTTTTTTTTAACAACAGGAATACAAAGAAAGAGCTGAACGATATCAGATTTGAGTTCATGCCTGGGAGAGGTTTGTGCAGTTTACTGTTCGATTGACTTGCTAATACCACATAAGTTGAAAAACTGTAATCTCAATCACAAAGCTTGCAAAATGTATTTAATTGAATGCCTTCTATATCCAGACACAGCTGATGGAGTGTCTCAGGAGCTTGTGTCTGCAGGACTGGTGGATGGGAGAGACTTAGTCATTGGTGAGTTTGTCGAGATAAAAATAAAATTGCTACTTGACACTAAAAAGACAAAAGCTGAAAATAATTAGTGTTTCTAACTTCTATGCATTTTTTTAGTTGCAGCCAATTTGCAGAAAATCGTTGATGATCCACAAACCCACAAAAATATCACTTTCAAGTTGGTAAGTTATTAGATGATGTGATGCAGCGGTCAGTTGCTCATCGGAGGTGTTGTTTTATATTTGGCACTATGTTTGTCTCTCTTCTGTTTAGGCATCGGGAGTGGACAGCTCTGAAATTCCAGACGACGTTAAACTCATGGGATTCGCTCAGCTGAGTATAAGTTAAAAACAAAGTATTACCAGCAACGGGGGAAAAAAACAGACTTGTTTGCACAACAGTGCATTGTAAATGCTTTCATTGGCCTAAAGAAACCACTACTGCCAAAGAGACAGAAGGAACCTGACACTGCATAGGATTAACAAATGTTGAATAGGACTGCATCCGAGTTCTTCATAGGAGCGCACCTCAGATGTTTACAGTGTTCATGTATGTTTTGTTTTCTCTGTTGCTTTAAACATTTGCACAATCTGAACCAACTCCTAATACTGGTAGATGTCAAAAGAATGCCTTACTTTCGATAGTACTACTGAATTTACACCCGTAGGTAGACAGTAGCTGTGGATCTCATCTGTGAAATGAATGAGTTACTGTGTGTGCTTTCAGCTGTGTACCTCAATGGAGGGTGGAGGGGAGGGTTGTCATTCAATAGCATTTGAGGGTGCATGTTGGCACACCTATAAAGTCAGCTGTTCAGTACATCACTCTGTATTATGGTCCGTCATTTTGGAGCAATCAACATTGTATGGTTTTACACATTATCCAGTAAACATGGGAGCCATGTCACCCACAACCCCGTCAGACATGTTTCACCTGTGCACTGCACCTCACAGTTACACGTTTCAGCTGCTTTCTTACTATCGGGACACATTCCCATCATTTTGCATGGGCTAATGCCAGACTGCATGAATGATTTGTAACTTAAGATATGCTGATCATTTTGCTCTCACTTAATTTTGCCGGCTCTTTATGAAAACAGGACGTGAAAGAGAGATGAAATGAGATATTGAGCTTGTTAAAAAAACATGAACAACAAGAATTTGAGAGTTCTCATCAAATTGATCACTTTCTTAAAGGATGTATATGCTGTTGTTTCAGAAAACAATTTTAATTCTCTGGAAATTGTGCATTTCACTTTATATTGGAAAGAGGGTATATGCAATTTTGTTGATTGAGCATAATGTTAGAAGTTTCATTTATATGCATATCTGTTAAGTATAGTGGCAGCTGTTTGGATAGTGTTACAGAACTAGATTTCTGACTTTTCTTTGAAGGAAATTCCAGTGCTTGCAAGGCAGCAAATGATTAGCATTAACATTTTTGGTAAAATCACTGACAGTTACGTTTTGAATTCTCAATATTCTATTATTCAACGGGAGATTTTAAACACATTTTTAAAGTTCTCAATCTATAAGCAAAACAAAGCTGGAATGTAGTCTACGTGGAACTGAATGCAAATATATGTATAGAAAAAAGGAAAAATATGACTTGCAATACATTGCCAGCCTTGCAAGCACTGTTAATGAAGTGAAGACCAGTGAAGCATGGGACTCAGTCACTGACCAGCAAGAAACAAAAAAAAAAGTGACTTTAGGACTCATCCCATGTCCAAGTAATATTGGCAATAGGATCCATTGGATTTGAATTTGTGGGTCTGTTTGTGTCTTTGTAAATATTTAAGTTCATTACATCTTCTTGCTTAATATCATCTGTCTCCACTGCAGACTGATGTCTGATTCCATGTTATATAGGCAGAAAATGTGTTCACATGCAACTGGTATTTTTTACCTTTTAAAAACAAAATGACATGGTCATAATGCCAGTATTTTTGACATTAACTTTTTTTTTCTTCTTCTTACTGAGGCTCTACACTCCATTTCATTTTTATTTTTCCCCGTTATTTTCTCTCCTTGGCTTCCAACAAACAGTAAATTCTAAGATGGTCAGTGATTCGTTCGCTGTTACTTCCGCACTTGTGTGTGTGCAAATGACTTGATTATATTTTTCTTTAAAAAAAAAAAAATATATATATATTTAGTGTGAATACAGCAATGAATGTGGGTGGGGCATCTTAATGAGTACTTGATCAAGAAAAAAAAACATGTAAATAATCAAATTGGTGTTGTTTATAAATATAATATAAACAGTATACATACCATTCACAGTTGGCCTTTCTATGGAGTGGAAGTGGTGGTTTGTCTGATGTCTTTTTGTTGGCTTCTCTTTGTTCACAGTCGAACAACGCAACACTTGGCTCAAAGCGTTTCATTACTAAAAAAAATGTATTCCCTAAATGATTACATTAGCATGACTTGAGAATAGTTTGTACTGAATTCTACTTTGTCAACAGTGGAGGGCTATTATTGTTTTCCTACATTTCAGTTTCTGCGTTGCTGTCTTTGTCATTGGTTGGTGGGACTCTTGGAAGGAATGCATGTGGCATGTCAATTTTGTGTATGTTTTTGTGTTTAAATGGGTAACAACTCATTACAATGGCATGCCACCTTACTATAATCATTGTGGACATTTTTTTATATATATTTTTTATTTTTTATTTTTTTAGATGTTTCAGATAATTTAAATAGACTGTCAAGTCAAAGCCTAAACACAATGATTTCATTTCTTTGATGGTCTAAATTGTTGTTGGCCCTGTCATGATTCTCTAAAGCCTCAACAAAAGCCTCAAATATTTTGCCTTTTTTCTTGTAAAACATTTAAAATCCTCAAGTTTCACTCTCTTTCTCACCATGTTAGTGATAATGAATTTATTGTCACGTGTCGTGTACACAAGTGGCTGGGTGATTGAGGTTTGTGTGTTGAGGTGAGTTGTCTTGAGATCATTCCACCGTTCTGTTCTGTCAGCAGTCTGGAAGGCTGCTGTTTTCACACCAAGCAAATGTGTGCAGTTCTTTCAAAAGGGATTTGCTGCATTTCAGTGGAATATTTAAGTGTTTTCAGTTCAAAGCTTTTTTTTTAGATTCTTAAAAAAAAAAATGAATCGTTTTATCTTATTGAACTTCAAGGAATTAATTGTCACGACAGCAGCAATGGAGGTATTACTATCACTCTCAGTATGGTGTGTTAAGGACAATAGTAGAACACTGTATTTCACTAGTATTTCACTTTTTGGGATTTTCAGTGCATGTGTACCCAATTATTTTTTAATAATAATCAATAAAGAATGAAATTATGACACTTTCCATGCAGACTTGTCTATAGTGAATTGCGTAATGATGTTGAAGTGCTTCATGATCCATAATAGTGCTCTGTGGCACTTCTCCGGTTTATTGCTAGTGTTATGTTGTTGAGTTACACATTGCACTTACTGTCAGCACTATTTTTTTTATGAATTGTTGTACTTTAGAACCAAAGTACTACTCAAGTTCCCTTTGGTTTAGTTTTGAAAACTTTAAATGTATTTCACTGTTTTGTGCGCAATCATTTAATATAGTGTTATATATGTGGGTGTGTGCATGTGTATATATATATATATATATATATATAATTCACATACAAGTAATGTAAGGTTTGTGCCACAGCTGCCCTAAACTAACAGTATTGGTGGTTACCAAAATCGTTTTGTGTGAGCTCTTTAGTAATAAACACAGTAGTGTTTAGCGAGCTTACACATATTGGCGGATTAACCATTACAGAAACATAAAAAAATGATTTTGGTAATCACCAATACTGTTAGTTTAGGGCAGCTGTGGCACAAACTTTTGAAAATTAAGCGGCAACCCTTCCACACGTTCACAATGCAGAACGATTACGCTCGTACACACTTACCCCCCCACCCCCAAAAATCACCCATAGAAGTCAGTGGGAGACTATAAAATATTGATTTTTTGTTGTTGTTGTTGTTACATAGGCTATTTTGTCAAAAATGTCAGTTACAATGCAGAAAACACACAAAAACTGAAGGGCTGACACCACAGCACATCCACGGTCGAGGAAAAACTCACCCCCCAACGCCCATAAAACCCACTCATAAGACATGAAAAAGTGACATGACATGAGTGGCTCTCTCTTATATAATTTGTCAAATAAAAATCAGCTACAACGAAGAACACACACAGAAATGATGGAGGGACACCACAGCACATGCACAATGGAGAATAAATGCAAACACACACACACAAACATATACACACTAATACACACATATAACACTACATACTTCAGTACAAAAACTGCTAAACTTTGACAAAGAGTCATTTTTTATTATTACAATAATGATTTCATAATATCTTAACATATATCTAAATAAAAATTTTAAAAAAACTTGTGAAAAGATCTATACCTATATGGAAATGGTAAATGAGCCACTGAGTAATGCTCTAGAGCCATGTGGTGGCTGTAGTTGAAATTTCATTTTTTTCTCATTTTAAAAGTGTTTGTTTTCAAGTAGATGGAAACAATTTCCCATTATGCTATGGCACATTGGCCACGTTATCCCCATGAATTAAAATTAGGAATGTGGGTATTTTATAAACTGTATTTTGCATAAAAAGTAAAAAAATATATAAAATCTATTTAATAAAACAGCACATCCACAATGGAGAATAAATGCAAACACACACATATAACACCACATACGTGTTTGACTGTAATCATGTGTCATAATTGCAAAAAAATTATACGTCAGTACAAAACACTGCTAAACTTTAACAAAGAGTCATTTTTTATTATTACAAAAATTATTTTATAATCTCTTAACATAAATCTAAATAAAAACACTTGTGAAAAGATCTATACCTATGTGGAAATGGCAAATGGGCCATTGAGTAATGCTCTTGAGCCATCTGGTGGCTGTAGTTGAAATTTCATGTTTTTCTAATTTTAAAAGTGTTTGTTTTCAAGAAGATGGAAACAATTTCCCATTATGCTATGGCACATTGGCCATGTTATCTCCATGAATTGAAATTAGGAATGTGGGTCTTATATTATGTGTATTTTACATAAAACGTTAAAAAAACCTATTTAAAAATATTTTAAAATTTATTTATATACATTTAAAAATACCGTAAATCCTCCCAAAACTGCACAAATGTAGAGTACATTAATAAACTGAGTAAAATTTAAATTGTTTTTAAAAAAGCATTATTATCACATTTTGTTGTCTGGGATCCCCAAACCCCAAACAGCAAGAGTGAATACCCCAAACGAATTAAAGTGAAATAAATGAACATAAATATAGGAGCCTGATAAAAATGCTAATTTTAGATGAAAATTTCAGACGGCACTTAGAGGCTTTTGCATCTGAACTCTTCATTTATATACAGTATATATATATATATATATATATATATATATA